GCCCCCCTGATTGAAACAGTATTTAGTTAATTCCCCTTATACTACTCAAGACACATGAAATGCCACGCAGCGCAAAGCCGCACAAGCCGCGCAGCGCAAAGCCACACAAGCCGCACAGTGCAAAGCCAGACAAGCNGGTCAATGCGCCCCCCTGATTGAAACAGTATTTAGTTAATTCCCCTTATACTACTCAAGACACATGAAATGCCACGCAGCGCAAAGCCGCACAAGCCGCGCAGCGCAAAGCCACACAAGCCGCACAGTGCAAAGCCAGACAAGCTGCGCAGCGCAAAGCCGCACAAGCCGCGCAGCGCAAAGCCAGACAAGCCGCGCAGCGCAAAGCCGCACACGCCGCGCAGTGCAAAGCGACGCAACAGGAAGGGCCTAAGAGGAGCCGAGGCTGGAAACCCTCGCGCGGCAGCAAAGGGTACTTGGCACGCGGTGTTGCGCGGCGACCGCTCGAAACGTTTTGCATCAGGGGGGCTTTGTTTGGCCGTTTGAAAGCACCACATGCCAGGCGCGAGCGCGAAACAAAAGCGGGGCGCAGCGCAAGGGGCGTAAGGGGCGGGAAGCGCGGACAGTTAGACAAAAGCGGCGTTTGAGATACCGAAAGGTGATGTCTTCGAGCATTCAAGAAATGCTGGAACGAGAGCTGGCGAAAATGGACCCGGCGGTATTGCGTTATTTCGACGAGATTCTTGCAGAAAGCGCGCCAGCGGCGCAAAGGGTAGTCATGAATGTGCTGGACGATCCAATTCCAGAAGAAACGCAGGCGCTCCTGCAAAAGCCGCTGTGGCCGAAACCATTCCAGCCAAGAGCGCCTCCACGCCAAAGAAGGCGCAGAGGAGCGGAAGCGTTTCTGAGGGAGTACGACCCCTTGAGGGCGCAAACAGTTCGAACAGTGTCGGATTACCAGAGAGAGATCCAGGACTTGTACGACGACACAGACAAAGAGGGGGAAGAAGAGACAACAGGCCGGCGTTTCATAAGATGGTGCTTCATCAGGCGCCTGGGGAGAAACCTGACGGCGGAGTTCATGGCCAAGATACGGGCGAAAGTGAGCACGTCATTCTATCTGCGGCACGTTTTTGGGTACCAGCTGAGGCACATCGAGGACGGAACAGTAATCGTGTACTATTCAAACCCGAAGGGCTCGCAGTGGTTCAACAAGTTTGAAGACACGGAAACTTGGCTGAACACGCGGGAAGAGGAGCGCCTGGACAACGAAAGAGTTTCAAGGCCAAACACGAAGTGGGCCTTCGAAGCGTTCTTCAACGTAGACGTGAAAGTTGTGCTGGACAGGGAGCCGTTGGTGGGAACAGGGCGTCTGCCAGACTGGCTGTGGAACCTTGCGCATACCCAGGAGATGGTGGCGTTGGACGTGTACAGAGACAACCTGTGCCTATGGCGGTGCCTGGCAGTGCACGGACAGGCGCGGACAGACCATT